TATTAGTAATTAAGTTTGGAGGGGGGAGTCAAAAGTTAGATATGGGTTTCTAACTGCACGGGGTAGGGGGATGTCAGCATCCTAACTTCTGCATTGTTCAAGGGTCAACTGTATATTTATAGGTACTGTATTTGTGTTTTGAATTTGCACACTGACCCAGGCATTAATTTATGTAAAATAATATTCTAACATTTTCACAGAGTTGAGCATATTTAAATTCTGTTTCTGTACTTCTAATTTTATTGCATTGTAGCCCCAAAATGTGGTATAAAATTGTCCTTTTAGATTTACTAAGTATATTTTTGTATTGTTAGAATACAACCAAAGGTATTTTTATTTTTTTTGCAAAAGAAAAAAATATATTTTTATTTATTTTTTGTTGGCTTGGTTTTTTTAAAAGTTATTTTGCTACTATATTCTTTTGGGTGTATATATATATATATATATATATATATATATATACACAAATCAGTTATGTTTCATTTCCTGTGCTTTTCTTTCTTATTTATTTATTTTTGCCATTCCTGGCCCATCATCCTTAGACTTTTGCTATGCTCTCGAATCTATGATCTAGTATCTGTTGGTCAGTTAAGATTTCTTTCAGTTCTAGATACCAGAAATTCAGAAAATTATTGTATGAACAAGCAAGGGTAGGAGATGAGGCTGTAGAGGGAGGCAGGGGCCAGGTTATCTACAAGCTTTTATTCTACTGCAGTGAATAGCCAGTTTAAAGCCAGGCAGGGTTTAAATAGGGGGTGGGTAGCATATACAGGCCTACCTCCGAGATATTGCGGGTTTGATTCCAGCCAACCACATAAAGTGAGTCAAATAAATTTCCTGGTTTCCCAGTGCATATAAAAGTTATGCTTAGGAGCGCCTGAGTGGCTCACTCGGTTAAGTGTCTGACTCTTGGTTTCAGCCCAGGTCATGATCTCAGGGTTGGGAGATGGAGCCCCATGTTGGGCTCCACACTCAATGTGGAGTCTGTTTGAGATTCTTTTCTCCTCTCTCTCTCCCCCTCTGCTCTTCCCCCTGCTTGCTCTCTCTCTCTCAAATAATAAATAAAATCTGTAAAAAAAAAAAAAAAAAAAGGTCATGCTACACTATACTGTAATCTATTAAGTGTGTAATAGCATTATGTCTAAAAAAGTAAATACCTTGATTGAAAGATTGTTTATTGCCAAAAAAATGCTAACCATCGCCTGAGCTTTCAGAGTTGTGATCACTGATCACAGATCACCGTAACAAATACAATAATGAAAAAGTTAGAAATAGTGTAAGAATTACCAAAATATGACAGTTACACAAAGGAAGCAGAAGCTCTTGGAAAAATAGCACCATCAGACTTTGTCGACACAGGGTTGCCACAAAACTTCAATTTCTTAAAAACACCGTATCTGCAAAGCACAGTAAAGTAACGTGCAGTAAAATGAACTATGTCTGTATCACATTGTTCAGGTTTTTGAGAAATCAGCTTGGATGCTGAGTGGAGAATAGACCGTAGAAGGGCAACAGACAGGAAGCAGGGAGGTGGTTAGGAGCCTGTTTGGCAGCTGACCGAGAGAGGGCAAGGTGGCTGGTGGAGACAGAAGAGGCTGTAACCAGGATGCCTGTTGCAGGCAGAGCCAACAAGCCACAGACTGGCGGTGGGATCGTGTATGGGGGTAGAAGGGAAGACGAGTCAGGAATGATGCCTGGGTGCCCCCCTCCCCCAACCCCAGGGATGAGGACCCAGGCCTGGTGGTTCTCAGTGGATAGATGGTCCTGAAAGCTGAGAGACTACATGGGATCCCTCTGGGGGTGGGGGGGGGGGGAGGGGGGAGGGCATGAAAGAGAAGTGGGGAGGGTAAGGATCACTAGAGACCTAGAGGAAGTGAAGCAGGAGGAAGGTAGAGTCAGATGGGAGGGAGTCCAGGAGCGGGGAGGTTCTCAAAACTCCAGAGGAAGTGTTTCAAGGAGTGTTTTCAAATGTACCCACAGATTTGTTCTAACAGGTATGACAGCATGCACAGAAATGACTGTCCTAAAGGAAGAAGGTTTTACTCACAGTTCCCTAGAATCAGGAGGAATGACAGGTCATGCAGAGCCACCACCGCAAGCCAAGCACATCTGGGTTGGCAGGGGGAGTGAGGGGAGAGCATCCCTTAGCGCTTTTGTTATGGGAAGGAATGGGGGAGGCAGGGTAACCACACCAAGTAGGTTTAGGATTGTTTAGTTTGAAGAGTTTCTGTGGGCACTGGAGTGTAGGGACTGTCCCCAGTTATCCAGAACCTGGCCCTGGAGTTATTAGGGCAGGGGAAAAGGAGCCTGGAGTGTAACAGCTTACAAAAGAGGTGTTTCAGGGTGTCAACTCCAGATTAGTAGGTCTGCAAATGAAAGGCATGCTCATTGCACAAGTTATTTGCTATCTTTAGGAATTAGCTAACCTGGGAAGGGGCAGGCCCACCCTGGTCAGTGAGGCCCCAGATGCCAGAGCATCAGAGAATAAGAATACAGAAAATAAGAAAATATAGTTAATACAAAGGAAGAAGTGCTCAACTGTATCATTTGCATCAAGTGCATCTAAAAGACTGAGATAAGGGGCACCTGGGTGGCTCAGTCATTAGGCATCTGCCTTCGGCTCAGGTCATGGTCCCGGGGTCCTGGGATCGAGCCCCACATTAGGCTCCCTGCTCTGCAGGAAGCCTACTTCTCACTCTCCCACTCCCCCTGCTTGTGTTCCCTCTCTCGCTGTCTCTCTCTCTCTGTCAAATAAGGTCTTTAAAAAAAAAAAAAAAAAAAAAAGACTGAGATAAGAACAGAAACTTGGCCTTGAATTTGTCAAAATGGAAATCACTGGTGACCTTGGTAAAAGCCAAGTCAGTGAGGCAGTCTGGAGGAAAGCTAGAATGGAATGGGGTCAGGAGACAATGTGCGGAAAGGAAGCTCTGATGGAGCAGAGAAACACAATGGTGAGAATGCAAAGGAATGCACAACATTAAGGCACGTGTGTATACTGATAGAAATGACCCAGCAGGCAGGGAGAAATGAATGAATCATTACAGAGAGAACTCCAGAACACCGTGGAGGTAGGCTGAAAGGACTCTTCCGTCCCAAATTTACCTAAAGTTACAGCTTTAGTCTTTAAAATAAATGAGATTTTTGCCTTTTATTTCATAATATAGGCACACCGCACCCCAGAACATATCCTCAAGTACTGTTTCCCTGGAAGAACACTTGAGTTATGAATACCCAAACTGCATAGTGGCTGTTCATATGTATATTTTCAGAGGATATAATTTATATTGAGTTTTCAAAACTTAATAAAACACTTTTTAAAAAAGATTTTATTTATTTATTTGACAGAGAGAGAGAGAGCACAAGCAGGTGGAGCGGCAGGCACAGGGAGAGGGAAAAGGCGGCTCCGGGCTAAGCAGAGAACCTGACGTGAGGCTTGATCCCTGGACCCTGGGATAATGACCAGAGCTGAAAGCAGACGCTTAAGGGACTGAGCCACCCAGGCGCCCCCTTAATAAAACATTTTAAACTAAATGGCTTGCAAGAAAACCTTCACGTTGGTTCCAAATACAATTGGTAGACCATAAAATCACACCAGTCACTTTGCAAATTTTGGAGTATCAGCAAAGGTATACACATCGGATGGTTGGTCTAAGAGAGGCCACTGCTACTTAAATGTGAGGTGACCAAGAAGTAATGCTTTAAGCATTTCATATCCTAATATGACAGTTGTAACATATCTGGGTGCCATACTGTGATTTAGAAAATTGGCATAATTTTTCAATTGACCCGCTATTTCTAATCATTTTTCCTGTTTAAAATAATGGGAAATATGTTTTTCTTAGTTTCCTCAGAGACAGGCTGACATTTCAGACACAGGTTACTGACATTAACTGGCAGAAGACCTTCCTCCAGCCTTGTCTCAGTTTAAAATTTTTAAATACTTACCTTGTAAATTACTTAACCTCGGTTGTTCCAAATCTTATAGTAAAATTGCTGCTTCAGAATGTTGTACCACAGTCTGCTGTTTTGCATCCTTTCTGCACAGAATTGGGGATGTGCATACTCCAGTTTGAGAAGCAGGTACTAATGCAGAATCTGATCAGAAAAATTATGGAAAAATGAATTCTCACTGCAACCCCCAACAACCACTCAGATGGGATTTTTAAGAAGGGATCTTAAAGTGGTTCCGAAGGAGTCGTACTGTAGGGCAGACGACAGAAACTGTGTACTCTCTTCCCGCACAAAGTTCCTTAACCTTTTGGGAAGGACCAGAGGGAGGATTTACGGGCAAGTGACAGCAGCAAGGGAGGGACGGAGGACAAGGCGAGAAAGATGGGTTTGAAAAGGCAAGTTCCAGGTTTCCAGGTGCCAGGTATTTCCATTTTAGGTAATGAATTTGCGGTTTCAGGAACCCACTGCAAGCCTCTGCTAAAGTTCCTAAACGGAGCCCGCGCCTACAGCAACTGGCTCGGCGCGTCCGCACTGCGCATGCCCGCGGGGGGGGCGGGGCGAGGAGGAGGGGCGGGGCGCGCCGAGCTCGCCCGGGGCCGAAGCCAGGGAGAGCATGGCCACCCTGCGTCGGCTGCGGGAGGTTCCCCGGCACTTGCTGGTCTGCGAGAAATCCAACTTCGGCCACGACAAGTCGCGCCACCGACATCTTGTGGAGACGCACTATCACAACTACAAGGTGAGTTCGGCCGCCGTTGGCCCCTCGGGCATCGCTTCATCCCCGGGAGGTGGGGAGGTCCGGGCAAAATCGCATTGAGCTTTGAGTGGTGGGCCCGCCCTCGACGCGCAGAGGGGCGGGGCTCCTCGCCAGGCATGTTGGGAATTGTAATCTCTTCACTGCTCCCGACTGCTCGCTTGCGGAGCTGCAGGACTACCACTCCCAGGATGCTCCGGGGGCGGGGGCAGTGTCCTCTCCTCTCGGGGGGAGGGGCGGGGCGGCGTGCCCCCTGCCGACTCCAAAGCGCGCTGGCTACTTTGGTCCCGCCTCTGGTGGGGTGCTTTCCCGGGAGGGAGTGGGGGGCTGAGCCTGGGAAGTTAAAGAGCGAGTGATGGGTGCGACGTGGAGCCGCGGGTCGGAGGAAAATCGGGGCCGGACTCGGCGCCCCTCCCCACCTCTTGATTCTTTCTCCCTCCTCGTGGGAGCGTCTTGCCGAGTCCGGACCCAGGAAGCACGTGCTTTTCTAGACTATTTAGGGGAGCTAGGTTTAGATCTGAGAAAATTCCCGCTTTGCCTGCTGTCTTCTGTGGTCTCCAGCCAAAGCGCGCCAGTTCGGCAGCTTTGTGTAGAAATGCGCCATGGTGGGCCTGCTTCCGAGCACAACTTAAGAGCTTTACAGGGGTGCTAACATCGGTGTTGCTTCGTGAAGATGTCATTCTCGTGGGGGGGCTTTGTGTAAGTTGAGGCCTCAGTGAGGTTAATGATCTAGCATCCGGCAAGAGAAGAGAATAACCCCAGTGCCAGTCAAGTGTCCAATGGCTCGGTTTCCAAAATGGCAAGGTCTCCAAAAACTCAACCTGAAAATGGTTTTAGCCCTTTACACTTTAAATTCATCAGCCTCATCTCCACCCAGACCTGACTGCCGTGGCAGTTTCTCAGAGACACAGGTGGTGAGGCCGGTCCCTTAGGAATAGACTGGCGTTTGAGCTTTGGGAGAGTGCTTTTCAAGGTGGGCAGCACTTGGGCAACATTTGAAACCGTTTAGGTTTAACATCTCTGCTTTAGACAAAAGCTCATCGCAGGCAGCAATCGGGGTGTGTATCTTATCTTTTCCAGGATGATCTGTAGAATTTTTCTGTCTAGAAAATAGAAACAGCCTGGACCACTTCTGGTTCCATGGAGCCTCTTAATGATTGATGTCCCTAATTTCCTTATGCCCTAAGGGACAGTCCCTTTGATTCCAGCCTGGTACCAGGTTAAACAAATTTAGGGATATTCCACTGTACCGTATCTCCTTAAAAATTCATTAGAGCAGTGGACAGGATATAAAACATATTGTTTATTTGCAAAAGCTTTCCATTAAATTTTTTTTTGCTTCTTTAACTTTAATGTTTGGATACAGAAATGAAAAACGTGAATTGTCAAATTTCTCTTTTCCTGAGACTGGTAAATTAATGTAAGAGTTTTATAGAAACCCGTGGGGGAATGGTTAGCAGCCTTCATATGTCATAGCATCCTTAAAAAGCTGGAGGCTGATCTACATGAAAGTAAGACTGGTTTATGTTACACATTCCAAATAGGTTTCAATTCTGATTCCTGAATGTGGGATTCTGTCAAAAGAACTGAAAAACCTAGTCATGGAAACTGGACCCTATTACTTTGTGAAGAACTTACCTCTTCATGAGTTAATTACACACGAATTCATCAACACCTTTGTGAAGAAAGGTAAGAAAAATCTTGTCGTGTCTATGAATGTGGCAAGATGAGGAAGTATAGTTGGATCACATCACGATACTAGGGCTCTTCTCTTGTCTTAAATAGGGCCTGTGGAGGTAGTCTGCGTGGTCAAGTGCATGCATCACTCCCCCTCCCTCAGTATCCTCACCCTACTTTTTCTCGTGCTCTCTTTAGGTGGTGGTTTCTGATGACACTTGTCCACGAGTGTGGCATGGGGATGTTGTAACATAAAGCTATCCCTCATCTTAAAACAAGGATTCAGGGAGAGGAGAGAGCCTTGGGATCTGTGTGTTCAGATACACTGCTGTCGGGTGTATTTCTGACCCAAAACATATATATTTAATGGACCCAAAGTGGCCACAAAGACCACTGTGTTCCCAGCAGTCCCCACTCAGCCGCCTCGAAAGGTTCATCTCCTCCTGCCGCCATAGCAGCTGTTCACCGGGCGGTGTGCTCATTATGGTTCAGTGTCTTCTGCTTCGAGTGTGTGGCTCTGACCCTCTCTGCTCACCCCACCGCATTTCCATTCGTGTCTGCTGGGTTGGTGGCTTTGTTCCAGTTGTTTCCTAGGGAGCACTTGTTTGAAACTGTGTTTCAGACTGTCGTTAGGGATTCCCCCCTCACCACGTAAGTCACTGTACTTAGAAGTAAGCAAGCCCCTTCTCTTGCTGTAGGCTCCATATTCGTCGCCTGCAGGGAGCCCTGAAGAATCCAGTGACTTCCAGTTCCTCTCATTCGGGTGCTGCTGGCCCTGCTTGCGAAGCTGGCCGTGCGTGTTGTCTTTGGTCCCGTCAACTTGAGTCCTTTCATCTATTTTGAAGTTTGGTGCTGCTTTGTTAATAATGTGGCCATTGGCTGTAAGGGGCACTTTTACATATCTTAACCACTTGAACTCTTCCAACAGCTCTCTGAGTTAGACCTATGATCCCCATTTTACAGGTGAGGAAAACTGAGGTTCACAGAGACTGAGTGGCTTTCCTAACCTCACACAAGGTCCTGGCACATTTTGAATCTTCACCTGGAACTCTTCCTCCCAGGAGCGTGCACTGACCTAGTATTCTACTTTGTGCCTCTCTGCCAGCACTCTCAGCGGTACCCACCACGCCCTGAGTCCATTTCCTGCTTGATGGTAGTCACCTGGCACAGATAGGCCCTGGGTGGGGGCGTGAACTAGCTGTTGTGTGGCCTCTGTGTCCTCGAGCTCACCCTTGGCAGGTTTTAGGGTTATTTATTTATAGATTTTATTTATTCATTTGAGACAGAGAGAGAACACAAACAGGGAGAGGGAGAAGCAGGCTTCCTACTGAGCGGAGAGCCCGATGCAGGGCTCGAACCCAGGCCCCTGGGATCATGACCTGAGCCGAAGGCAGACACTTAACCATCTGAATCACCCAGGCGCCCCAGGTTTTAGGTTTATTGAGGGAGCTGGAGCCGTGGTGGGTACTGACCTTTACTCACCTGGCAGATACGTTATCATGTGAAGAGAATCCACTAACTTTGCAGGTGTGATTTTTTTTTTTTTTTTTTAATTTCTCGTCTGGGCTTTCTTACAGGTTCGTGCTGTGCACTAACATACAATACAAATATCGATGAAGATAATACTGTGGCCCTGCTGCCAGACGGTAACAACACTCACTTTCTCTTTAATTTTAAAAGAAATACTGTAAAAAAAAAAAAAAAAAAAGTCAAATCTCCAGATCACTCCCCTTCTTAGAATGAACTGTTTTTAACAGGTTGGTTTTTATTCTTCTTGACATTTTCTATAAATTTATAAACACACATAAAGCTTGTTTTTTTTTTTAACATAAATAACATTGTACTACCTTGTTCCTCACTTTTCTTTTTTCTCAATATGTCATAGACATCTTTCCATATCAGGGCATATGGTTCTGACTTACTATTTTTAATATTTTGAAGGTATTCTAGTGAAGAGGTAACGATGATTTGTTTAACTATTCCATCTTTAATAGAAATTTAGATAATTTCTGTTTTCACTGTCATAAATAATATCCTTGTATGTATAATAGGTTAAAATATCCTTATACATAAATAGGATGTATGTATAAATAATATCCTTGTATCATAAAGAAAATCCTTGTGTGCAGTTTATTACCCTCATATTTAACTGCTCGATTGGCTGTGCTTTCTTTTAATCAGAGAACGTGTCATATTTTTAACATCTCTTTTATGGGAATTATTTGACTTATAGGGAAATTAATTTTATCACTGGATAAAGATACTTATGAAGAAACTGGTCTTCAAGGTCGTCCATCTCAGTACTCCGGCAGAAAAATCATGAAATTTAGTAAGTATTATGCTCCCATCAGTTTCTAACAAGTCAGTAATCTTCCTGTAGCAATTTCAGTGTAAATGTTTGAATTGCCACTGTTCTCTTTATTCAGAAGGAGTATGGCTTTTTCTTGTCTTTAAAACTTCTGACCCACGGGGCTCTAGGTTGGCTTTGGAGAGGCTAAGATTGCTGTTCTCTCTGTTTCTCTTCGGCTGTGGGCTGCATCTTATAAGGATCACAGAATTGGAATGGTCCATTAAATATATATGTTTTGGGTCAGAAATTCAAAGTAATGAACCCAAGATAAGAGTCTACAGCGTGTTCTTAATAAAGAATTTCCTTTACTTTCACCAGGTTTTTTATGATGACTAGTAGAGACACCCCCATGAGTGAGGAGATACGGTTCTGCCGATAGTGTCTGGCTTGAACACGAATGACTGAGGCTGTCACATCCTTAGGTAGATTAGGATTGACCTCCCAAACCTCTGCCCTTGGGCTTTGACCTCGAAAAAGTATGAATTTAAAAAATTTGTTGTTACTGTCAATGCTAGAAAAGCCCATGAAAGGCAGAGTTTTGATTTGGTAAACCAAAGGAGTGCAAGAACAAAATAATTTTTGCAGTCATAAAACTTCCAAAAATTCTGATGCTTTTTAATACAGCACTTTTTCCACAGTGTAGGCTGTGTATATACGAATGAACTGTTTATTCCTCTTTCCATTTTTTAAGTTGTTTCCATTGATTTGATGGATTTATCCTTTAACCCGAATTCTAAGAAGTATGAAAGAATATCTTGGTCCTTCAAAGAAAAGAAGCCATTGAAATTTGATTTTCTTTTGGCTTGGCATCATACAGGTATGGAAAATATGTAACAGTACAGTGATTTGGAAATAATCATTAATTAAAGGGGAGTAATGGAGGATTGAATTGTGATTCATCCCTGTGGTCTAGGATATTGTGTACATATGTGCATAAACATTATTCGGGAAGCTGCTTCGGGCCCCCTGCGATCCCCGGGAGCCATAGTTTGGGATGATCTAGGCATGCGGCCATCTGCCTCCACCTCCTTGGGTTATGTGTCAATCCAGAGATCTTGAGAGTGGCTTCATAGCAGCTAACTTTTATCTGTCTCTTGACCCTTCCTTCCTACACCTTACCTCAAACAGTCTTGGCAGTATGGTTTTTTTTTTTTAAAGATTTTATTTATTTATTTGACAGAGAGAGACACAGCGAGAGAGGGAACACAAGCAGGGGGAGTGGGAGAGGGAGAAGCAGGCTCCCCGCAGAGCAGGGAGCCCGATGCGGGACTCGATCCCAGGACCCTGGGATCATGACCTGAGCTGAAGGCAGTCGCTTAACCAACTGAGCCACCCAGGCGCCCCAGCAGTATGTTTTAAAATAACACAAATTATAAACACAAACTGTTGATTATTTCAGGGTCCAAATCAGGCATGCCATTAAATGTCAGATGAAATTTGTTGTAACTTGGAATTGATTAGAATGTGAAATTTAGTGGGGTGCTTGGTCACCAAACGTGGTGACGTGCCGACAACTTCCATGTGCCTTGCTCCTTTTAGAGTGTAGCTTTGGTCCATCACAAGATTGTAATGAGTCAGATCATCACAGTTGTGATAGTGTCATACTCATTTTTGGAGGATAGGGAGGCACATAGGTCCATTTTGGAAATATGCCTATGCATCTGCTCTGTGTGGGACGTTTCTGGTCCTGGGGTGCTCCAGGCTGCCCCTGTGAGTCCTCAGTCTGTAATGCTTTAGTGCTTCTCCTCCTTAGGGTAAAGATACAGGAGGCCAGGCAGACTGACAAGACATTCAGTTGCATGAAGTCTTCATTGAGGACCATGTGTGCTTTCGGGTCTGGAGAGCTCTGTGTTCCTAAGGCTCCTGATTATTCTAAGGGCTTGTCAAGAACTGGGGAAAGTCCAAGATTTTCCTCACTTGTACACCAAGTAGTTAGCCTGCACAGTCTCATGGATGCTGGCAGAAGGCACAAGACTTGGGATGTAATTATACAGTAGTGGCCGTAGTGCAGCAGGCCCCACTACCTACAGGGTGACACGCGGTGGGCCAGGGGATACGACATGTGCCACGGGCTGCATTACAGGAGAGGAATCCCGAGCTGCAGGAACGCCAGTCTTACATCCTGGCCAGTGAGCCTGCGGGCCTTTGTTCTGGGGCGGAGGGTCGGCAGGGGGAGCAGATTATTTCTATTACACTGGACATGAAGCAAGCCTCACTTTTGCTCCCAAGGGGGGCCACTGTTTCTGTCTTCCAAGGCTGTTGGAAAATCCTTGAAGATAAGTTGGATTTTACTGGGTTTTTAAAGACAAGCTTAAATGAGATTCTGCCATCATTCAGTTCCTCTTGTGTTTCCTTTACAGAGATTATGCAAATAAACTCCTCTCTGTAGAGTTCACTAATTTTATTTAGCCACGAGTAGCACTTTTTTGTATTCAGTAACTCAAAATTTTCTTACTAGAGCAAATGCTGAAACTAATATGGGGTTGAATCTGAAAGGATTATGCTTTTCCAGGAAAAAGGAAAGGAAATGAATGTTTAGAGAACTTTGGCACAAGGAGCTGAAAGCAACTTAAATGATTTTAATTTGAATACAGCTTTGCACCACTCCCTTCTGCGTTACTTCATCTCACCTTCTCCCCAGAACTCTCACATGGGAATGGGGCGGTTTCAGGGATTCACTGAACTTGCTTTCAAAGGAGTCAGATGACCTTGCATGGTGTGTTTTTAAGGTGCGGAAGAATCCACAATGATGTCATACTTTTCCAATTACCAAATTCAGGAGCACCAGCCAAAAATAGCCCTGAGCACAGTGACAGAGCTGCAGTGCCCGGTGCTGCAAAGCAGCGCCCTCCGGGGGGCGCCAGAGGCGGCCTGCAGCGCTCCCGAGCTTCTGGACTGGCTGGGCGCCGTCTTCAGCCACGCGGAACTGTGCGTAGTAGCTCCTGGGCTGTGGGCTCGGGCTCTGGCTGACTTCTTGTTCTTCATAGGGGTTTATACTTTGAAAATGAATCATGTGGGAAATGTAAATATGTTTTCTTTCTTTCTTTTTTTTGTGTGTGTGTGTGACAGAAATAATGAGCCTAATAACTTCATATCAACCTATTGCTGTCCTCAGCCAAGCACAGTGTTGGCCAAAGCTTATTTGTGTACAATCACTGGTTTCATACTTCCAGAGAAGATCTGTCTCCTCTTGGAACAGCTGTGGTGAGAACGCTTTTTGCCTTTTATATCTTGCTTGTCCGTGCCCACATGACATTTTAGGGGCAGTGCTACTGTTCCAGATCGCAGCGTACTCTCACAAACGTTTCCCCTTTTTTCCTTGCTTGGGCTCACAGTGTGGTAACATTATCTTAAATGATGTAACTATCCTTGGTGATAGGAAAATTGTATTGCCAAATACTTGTCCTTATGAAAAGACAAAGAGCAGAGTTTAACTAAGCTTCTTGAAAACAAACTATTCATTTTTCTTGTGCTCCGGAAGTTGTAATATCACTTAAGAAAACAGCCGTACTCTACGGGACACACTATGGTCTGTTTTAAATGTTAGAGTTCGGCAGATGTTTTATTTTGAAAACAAGTTGACCACTTTTGAATCCAAATCATGTCTAAGATCTCTTCTGGCCCTGACATCCTGTGAAGCCCTGGGCGTCATTAACATGCCAAGGATTGGACAAGGCAGTATGGGGTTTTTCATTTGAGAAGGTACTCTATAAATAAAACGCTACATTTTATCTAATGTCAGGAAACTCTGATTCCATATTGAAAAGACCATGAAGCAAACATAATGCCTTCTCAGTCTTCACTTTTTTTTTTTTTTTTAAATAAGCCCAATGCCAGGCTTGAACTCATGACCCTAAGATCAAGACCTGAGCTCAGATTAAGAATTGGATGCTTAACCAAGGCACCCATCAATCTTCACTTTTTAAATGTCTAAGATTTAAATCTTGAGGGTTTTCTTTTTTAAGCCCAATACCCTTTTTCATGTATTAGTTTAGTACTTTCATTTTCCTCAATAAGGTTGGATTTTTTTTTTTTTTAAGATTTTTATTTATTTATTTGAGAGTGAGAGAGTGAACACAAGCAGGAGGAGTGGGAGAGGGAGAAGCAGACTCCCTGCTGAGCAGGGAGTCCAATGCGGGGCTTGATCCCAGGACCGCGGGATCATGACTTGAGCCAAAGGCAGACACATAACTGACTGAGCCACCCAGGTGCCCCAAGAAGATTGGATTTTTTTTTAAATCCAGGAAATTATTCTGCAGTGTTTCAGTTAACAGAGACTGAACAGCACTGTTAAATGGAGGGAAACTATTTCTGTATGCTTTGTGGCTTTATTTTGTTTTCCCTTCGCATCTTACATGATGTTCCACAGTAAGCATAGGAACTGCTGAAGTTGGTTTTGTGCATTCTGTAATTGGTTAACATTTATTGAATACACCACATAGGATCAGGAATGTAATTTGCATCTCTTAATCCTTATAAATAAAAGCTAAGGTCTAAGCTTCATTGGAACATCAGAAATATCACTTATCCTGAATAGTAAAAAAAATGTGAACATTCCTAGCCCTCCCTGTTAAGATTTTTCTTTCTTTTTCAGTCGCTACTTTGATGAGCCCAAGTTAGCTCCTTGGGTTACGTTGTCAGTACAAGGCTTTGCAGACAGTCCTGTTTCGTGGAGAGAAAATGAACATGGTTTTCGAAAAGGAGGAGAACATTTATACAACTTCGTGATTTTTAATAATCAGGATTATTGGCTTCAGATGGCTGTTGGGGCAAATGATGACTGTCCACCATAAAAAATACAAAATTTAAAATCATGTTTGTTTATGTTCATGCTTTCTTTCAGATTTTGTTAATGGTAAAGGACTGTGTGTTCACTCAGGTTTGTATGATGATGGCATTTTTTTAGATCAGCATCCATTAGCATTCTTGACTTAGGGCCCATCCTGTGAGTGTAGCTGGGACTGACATCCAATGAATAGCTCATAGTTGATTACCCTGGTCAGTCTCATTGTAAGTACAGAGGTGTGGGTACTGCATGGCAGAGTGGACTAGGATGGCCAGGGAACAGGTGTTCTTAGACCATTGGGTAAGATGTGTCCTGTTACTCGGGTGTATGATTACAACTTTTTCACATAATAAAAATAAGTCCTTATCTCATACTTCTCAGAGCCAGCCCTGCTTTAAGTACTGATTGTATTTTACCTCATTTCTTTCTTTTTTTTTTTTAAAGATTTTATTTATTTATTTAATTGACAGAGAGAGAGAGAGACAGCATGAGGGGGAACACAAGTAGGGGGAGTGGGAGAGGGAGAAGCAGGCTTCCGGCTGAGCAGGGAGCCTGATGCAGGGCTCAATCCCAGGACCCCAGGATTATGACCTGAGCCGAACGCAGTCGCTTAACCAACTGAGCCACCCAGGCGCCCCTACCTCATTTATTTCTTGCATCGACAGCACAGAGTATAAATGAGCTACCAGGGTCACGCTGCTTGTGAGTCTGAGACCTGACCTCAGGCCAGCTGGTTCCTAAGTGTGTGTTCTCACTCTTGCCTCTGGATCAAGAGAGGGGTATTTGGATACTGTATATGGTAAAGAACAAGTTGAAAGAATTTTTTCCGCTAGCATTATGGCTGATAAGGACCAGCTGAGAACCACTAAAACTTCTGGAATATATATCAATAGCCATTTTTAAAAATGGATCAGTGAGCTATAAAATAAGTCTCAAAAAATTTTAAATGGAAGTAGAAGCACAAAGAGGTAATTAGGACACTGGGGCCACTTTTTGCCCTTAGGGACATTTGCCAAATACCTAATTAAACTTTGATTTTTATCATCTGGGGTGGGAAAGGGGCAGTAGCATAGCAGACAAAGCTTAGGGCCTGCCCAAAGTGGGAGGGATAATAGGAGATCTCATGAAGTTGAGACCCCAAAAAGATAGACTTACTGAGGGTGAACAATGAACAAATCTGCCTGCCTCCTCCCTCTCCAATCTCCCCTTGTCCTCCCCTACTCCCCCCAGATAGCAAGGAAGATTGCCTATCCTGAGAGAACACATCTCCATCTTCCCTGAGAAGGAATATATGTATATATATGTGTGTGTGTATGTATGTGTGTGTGTATATATATATGTATATATTGCCACAAGCAGCCTTGAAGCTGGTTTGTTTGAACAATCTGGGTAGTCTAAAAGTCTCACACCAGAAATTTAAAGTGATACCAGTTTTTAGTGCCCTCCAGGTGACTGACAGAAGCAAAACTTAGTGTCTTTGGAGGAACTCAGAAACAGTTTCAAGGATATAAGTTAAAAAATCACAAACACATAAGATAGACAAGAACTAGCAGAAACAGACAGAAGAAGCAGGTCTACAAAGACTTAAGCTATTAAGATTCACCAGACATAATATAAAATATATTTTATATTTAAAGAAATAGGGGAGATTAAAGAGCATGATTGTAAACATGGTCAAGTAGATTGGGAAAAGTACCAAATGGAAATCTAGGAATAAGGAACACATAATTGAGAGTTCAATGGATTAACTAACATAACAGCAGAGTAGGTACCACTGATAAAAGAATAATAGGAAGAAGTAAGGATGTTTTCAGACTTGCAAAAGACTATCACCAGCAGATAACACATTACAACAAAAATTACAGGGTGTTCTTCAGGCAGAAGGAAAATGACACCAGATGGAAATCTAGATCTACACAAAGGGATGGAGAGCACTGGGAATGACCTATCCATAGGTCATTTAACCATATGGTCAACCTATCCATATCAATAGTCCTATTAAATGTAAACAGTCTAAATGCTCCAATTAAAAGGCAGAGATTGTCAGATTGGATTTAAAAAAATGCTGCCTTCAAGAAATGTACTTTAAAGATACAAGTAGGGTAAAAGTAAAAGGATAGAAAAAGATACCCCAAGCTAGCACTAGTCAAAAGAATGCTGGAATGTGTATATTAATAACAGATTTTAGAGCAAGGAATATTAACAGGGATTAAAGCTTATGTCATACTGATAATGGGTCTGTTAATGAATGTAACTGACAGCAATCCTAAGTGATAGCAAAAGCTGGTCACACTGCAAGGAAAAAATGGACAAATACACAATTATCAACGATTCTGGTATCCACTTTCTAAAACCGATGGAGCAAGTTGGCAGAACAAAAATGTAGTCTATTTGAACAATGATAACAGCCGATTTGACCTGGTTGATATTTATAGAACATTCCACCTACCACAGCAGAACATGAGAGTGTACATGGGATATTTATGAAGATAGACCACATTATGGCCCATTAAAAAAGTCTCAAATTTGAAAGTATCATACTAAGTATATTCTCTGGCCACAGAGGAATTATGTTAGAAATCAATAACAGAAAGATCCTTGACAATCCTCAAATATTTGGAAACTAACAAGTCAAAGAGATCTAAAGAGAAATTGGAAAGTTATTTGAAGTGAATAAGAAATTATGGGTTGCCACTAAAGCAGTACTTGGAAACTTATAGTATTAAATACCTGTATTAGGGAGGAAGAAAGGTCTCAAATCAGTGACCTGAGTTTCCACTTTAAGAAACTAGAAAAAGAAGGGCACCTGGGTGGCTCAGTCGTTAAGCGTCTGCCTTCGGCTCAGGTCATGATCCCAGGGTCCTGGGATCGAGTCCCACATCGGGCTCCCTGCTCTGCAGGAAGCCTGCTTCTCCCTCTCCCACTCCCCCTGCTTGTGTTCCTGCTCTCGCTATGTCTCTCTCTGTCAAAAAAAATAAATAAAATCTTAAAAAAAAAAAAAAAAAAAAGAAACTAGAAAAAGAAAAGCAAATTAAATACAAGGTAAGCAAAAGAGGAGGAATAATAAAGATCAAAGAGGCAATCAATGAAATAAAAGATAAAAATAATAGAGAACAATCAATGAATCCAAAGCTTGTTCTTTGGGGAAAAAAGACCAATAAAGTTGATAAATCTCCAGCCAGATTGGTGGGGGAAAAAAGAAAGCAAATGACCAAGGAATATATATAAGGAATGAGAGAAGTAACATCAGTACAGATCCTACAGATATTAAAAGGAATATTAGGAGCAACTTTATGCCAATAAATTCAACATCATTGATGAAATTGACAAATTCCTTGAAAGATACAAATTACCAGAGTACTCTAAGAAAGAAATACCCTGAATAGCCCTACAAAAGAAATTGCAGGGGTGCCTGGGTGACTCAATTGGTTAAGCATCTGCCTTCAGCACAGGTCATGATCCCAGGGTCCTGGGCTGGAGCCCCACTTGGGGCTCCCTGCTCAGTGGGGAGTCTTCTTCTCCCTCTCTTTCTGCCCCTCCCCCTGCTTGTGCGTTCTCTCTCGCTATCTCAAATAAATAAAATCTTTATTAAAAAAAATTGAAATTGCAGTTTTAAAACCTTCCTCTAACAAAAATTCAGGCCCAGGTGGCTTTAGTGGTGAGTTTTACCAAAAACTTCAGAAGAAATAATACCAATTCTCTACAAACTTCCAAAAAATCAAAGTGGCAATAATTTCCAATTCATTCTGTGAGGCCAGCATAACTCTGGGACTAAAATTATTAGCCAGACAAAACAAGAAAAGCTACAAAGCCATATTCCACATAAACTTAGGTACAACAATTCTAAGAAAAAGTTTAGTAAATTGAATCCTATGATATAATAAAAAGATAATATATCATGGTCATGGGATTTATCCTGGGAATGCAGGGTTGATTTAGCATTCACATAATCATCTCAATACAGAAAAATCATTTGACAAAATTGACCATCTATTTCTGAGAAAAACTCAGGCAAACTAAGAATAAAGGGAGCTTCCCCAATTTGATAAAGGGCATCTACAAAAACCCTAGAGCTAACATCATACTTCATTGTAAAAGATTGAATACTTTCCCCCTAACATCAGAACAAATAGGGAGGTCTCTATCCAATGTTGTACAGGAGATTCTAGACTACACAATTGGGTAAGAAAGAAATGACATCCAGATTGGAAAGAAAAAATTGCCTTTATTCACAGATGACATTATCTTCAGACATGTAGAAAATGTACAATGGAAAAAAATGTACAATGGAGTCTACCAAGTATGTATTAGAACTAATAAGCGACTTTATCAAAGTTGCAAGATACAAAGCAACATAAAAAATCATGTATATGTGGCAAAAATTAGAAATTGAAATTAAAAATCCACACTTACAACAGCTTAAAAAATGTACTTAGGAATAAATCTGACAAAAAATATGAAAGACCTGCACCATTTCTCAGGTTGAACCAGATATAAAGGTACCATTAGATGAATTTGATGGTACATTGTTGAAACTACAAAGTATTGTTGTGATAAAGAAGACCTAAATAAACAATAATATATACCTTGTTCATGGCTCAAGAGATTCAGAATTGTTAAGATATCATATTCCCAAGGGGCGCCTGGGTGGCTCAGTCGTTAAGCATCTGCCTTCGGCTCAGGTCATGATCCCAGGGTCCTGGGATCGAGCCCTGCATCGGGCTCCCCGCTCAGCGGGAAGCCTGCTTCTCCCTCTCCCACTCCCCCTGCTTGTGTTTCTGCTCTCTCTCTCTCTGTCAAACAAATAAATAAAATCTTAAAAAAAAAAAAAGATATCATATTCCCCAAATACAGATTCAATATAGATTCAATACAATCCCAATCCAAATCCCAACAGGTTATTTTTGTGTGTGTCTATATAAATTGACGAGCTGATTCTAAAATCTCTGTAGAACTGCAATGGGCCTAGAACAGCCTCCAGGGCTGCTTTACAACTTGATGATATTAACACCAAAAGCTTCCAACCGCTCCATTCTCCGCCTCAACACAATGTAAACCATCAGCCCAAGCCGGAAGTCAGAAGGTGTTTTTGTTTCAGTTATGTCCCTCTGATTATCTGTATGAGTGCATGCCAACTGAGAGGAAGTATTGTAATAAGGAACCTAATTTAGGAGGTGTCAGTTGAAGTTGGAAATAAGATTTACTGTTGTTCATTCTTTGGAATAATCTGGGGTTGATTAGTGTTTTCAAACTATATCTGACAGTTAATATGATGTTCAACTATTTTCTATATAAGATGAAAAATAAAAATCTGATATAAAAGGATTTTTTAAGACTGAGTTGATGAACTTATATACATAGGAAAACAGACTTGTAGATCTTCAAGGAGCAAGTGTCAAGAGTTTTCCAGAAAAAAGAAAGAAGAGAGAGAAGGAAAGAAGGAGCTAGAACTTACCAAGGCCGATTTCTTAAGTTTAGAGCAGTGAAATGGTAACATAGCAACTGACAAAAAAAACCACAACAAAACAAAACCAAAAACAACAACCCTATGCCAGAGGCATCCCTTTTAAGGAGCTAAGATTGTGCTCAAATTCTTTTAGTGTCATTTGCTGGGACTTGGGGACCAGAGGGACCACTACAAGCATATTCTTCAGAATCCAGATTAGGGGAAGAGGTTACACTTTGGATGCAAAGTTACTGCTGTATTAATCTTAATAAATCAAATTACTTGGCAGAAAGCCAAGTGTGATCCACCCATTTCTGAGGAAATAACCAGAGGTCAAAGATGATTATTTTCATCTCTTATAATTGAAGAACTATTTGTCCCGTTTTCCTATTGCCCAGGGTTGGTGTTTTCTTCCTCCTTCTGGCATGTTGCCTCTAAAGCTATGTGCAATTTTCACCACAAAGTTCCCTGGATTCTTCAGGGACATGGAACCAATAGAATATATATTTATAAAATTTGAAAATATTTTTATATATTATAAATATGTATTATGATGAATTGGCTCTCAGTTATGGAGGCTGAGTAGTCCCACAATATCTGCTGGAAACCCAGCAGAGCTGGTGGTGTAGTTCACTCCAGCCCAAACCCCTGAGGATTAGGAGAGCCAGTGGTGTAAGTCCCAGTCCAGCAGGGGAAGACCCGGTGTCTGAGCCCAGGAATCAGGCTGAGAGAGTGCAGATTCTCCCTTTCACCATTTTGTTCTACTCAGGCCCTCAAGGGATTGGATGAGGACCACCCACATTGAGGAGGGCTATCGGCTTTACTGAGTCCACTGATTCAAATGCTAATTTCATTCAGAGACACATACCCAGAAAGAATGTTTAGCCAAATATCTGGATATTGAAATGATCCAGTCAAGCCTGACACGGAACTAACCATGATACTCCCTCAGGAATTTAGTCTGTTGTAGTGTTTATTAAGCATCTAGTTTACACTCAGTAGTTACTCGTGTGGGCTGTGAGAACAGAACAAATTGTTTGACATGACTTCTCCTTTTGAGGAAAAGCTACTCAAGAGGACTGCTGTCTCTACCTTGACCTCATTAGCTCTTGACTCAAGCTAATGTGGTAGACTATTACGTGAAGTAGCTGAGTGAACTTTTTGGAAGGGATGGAATTTCAGGTCACCTAGGACTCTTCCCCTGGGGAAGGCAGCCAGTTGGGAGCTTCCTGGTCTTGGAGCTATTCTTTCAACCACCCCACCCCGACCCCTTGGGCCCTAACTTATCAGTTTGAGAATACATTGTTCAACAGTCCACCAGCTCTCTTTGGCTAGAGCATGGTTGGAGCCATTTTCCCCTAATGATGATGGAAAACTTTTCTTAGGAGAATGCATTAATTTATAGAAACAACCACTTACCTAAATATAGCCTGGTGCCCCATTTATGGGTTAGCTGTTCATGCATTGCTTTTATAGAGTGACTATCCTTATTTTAGGACAGGGAAGACTCATGGAAAAGGCAATTGGGCCTGGGGTAGGATTTATTTTTTTCATTCTCTTTTAATATCCATATTAGGGGGGTCAGGATAGGAGATTGCAGCAGCCAACCAAGTGTGAAGGAACTGACGAAATCCATCACAATCCCTTGAACACCACTAGCAGGGAAAGCCTCAGTGAGAAAGGTGGAAATGGAAAGAAATTCAGGGACTGGAAATCTGGGCTATCACTCTATTAGCATCCATGAGCTCTCTCTGAGGGAAAAACAGGCGCACACACAAAAGTATATTCCTGCAGACTTTCTTTGTTTCCCTCAACTAATGATGTAAGTTGGAGCCCTTTCATTTATGAAGAACTCACTCACATCTGGCTCTTCTTTCAGATAATAATTGGCAGCTTCAAGGCAGTGCATTCTGTAAAATCTTAGTAAGTCTCTTGGCTTTTAGGCCATGCTGCCTGATACTCTTCGGGGTGAGAAACCCAGATAAGATTTGGAGGGCTTGAGAATGTAGGGCAGTCTCTTGGGTCTGTAAGCAGACAGAATTTGTGACGTTTCTTGTAGGCCTGTAACAGGCCTCAATGTCTTTGTTCCTGAGGGAAAAAGTTATGGGCAGATAATGCCTTCTGAACTTCTAAAGCTTGTCTCTATTTCTCACCTGGTAAACTTTGCCCCTGTTTCATTTTGGATTCGTTCTGAAGTTCTCAGAATAAAAGTACCAGCCAGTATATTCGATTTCATAATAATAGATGACATTTACTGAGCACGTACTGTGTGTTCAGGCAGGCTAAGCATTTTAGACACATTTCATCGGTAAATGCCCACTAAAGGCACTTAAAGCGGAAGTGAAATTAGATTAGAGAAATTAAGTAATCTTCCCAAGGCTACATGGCTAAGTTAAGCAGTAAAACCAAAATTACAAATTAAGCTTGATTCCATAACTGGAGATTTTAAACATGAAGACATGCTCTCTCTTACAAATTCCTTTATTCCTGTATGATTACCAAAATGAGATTGGGAAGAAGAAAAGGAATTGTTTCAACCATCCATTCTTAGGTAACAAAACA